AATCATTTTTTGATGTTGTCTACGGCTATTTATTTTTTTTGTCATCCCCTGTGTTACAAGCGTTATGCTGTTCTTGGTCGACAATTGTTGAACCATTTTGTCCACGACTACCCTATCTTGTACAAAGGAAACCACATAGTTTATAATTTTCATTCTCTGTTCCACCTTCCCGACGACGTTAATCGATTCGGAATGTTAGATAACTTCTCTGCTTTTCCCTTCGAATCCTATTTGCAAGAAATTAGAAAATATATTAGTGGAACACGGTATTGCGCTTCGCAGGTGTATCGTCGCTACTTTGAAAGGCGTAACCTTGAGTCTACGTCCAGCTCGATTATGTTGCACGACGACGTTGGTGTTCCACGACCGATTAATTTGCCCCGCGGATCAACCGCAATTTTTGACAAAGGCCATGTATTATCGATAGACTTTCCCGATAATATAGTACTCATTGGCAATAGGCCATGTCAACTTACTGGATTAACTACCGATTGTATACTCTACAGATATTTTACTGACTGCACCGACCTCTTTACCACGCCCTCTTTTTCCTCCTCAACAATTTTTATGTTTAAAGCTTCCACTTTGGAAAACAGTACGCTGTCAGCTTCACTCAGTGATCTTCTTTGTAAATATGTCCCATTTTTAATTGACAACTACTTTTATCTCATACCTCTTTCACATAATTTTTCTGAGCAATAAAATTTTTATAAAAATTTTTAGCTTCTCCGTTTTTATGTTAGTGTAAATAACTTGACTGTCACCTGATTTTCCTTAAGATGTATTTCGTGGTTGTGTTTACGACCGAAAATTCTGTGGACGTCGTTGGAGAGAAGTGGCTTGATGAGCACGACAATAGTCGTGTCATGTGGCCGGATAATCCAAAAGTGCGAAAGCGCTCTTTGGAGGAGGAGTGGCCACCAGAAGGCACGCCTTATTACCCAGTAAGGAGACTGGGGAACTACTTTACATTAGAGGAGGCTCACCGTCACGCTAAGGTGGCGGAGGAGACCTCCGATCTGTCCAGCTCGGAACCCACGCAGACAGGCAAGGGTTGCTGAAGGAAGTAAGCGTTTAGTACAACTAATGTTTTCTTTTCTAGGATTCGCCGTCGAGTTATGTCTGATTCTGAAGACGAAGAAAGTGGTAAAGAAAATCGGCCGCCACTCCCTAAACGCGCACTGGGTTGGCCCACCACTCCTCAGTAAGCACTATTAATTTAACTTATTTCAGCAGGCTCTCCGATGTAAATACTCCCGCAAATGCCGCTCCTTCCACGCCACAGGCCGCTGAGTTGCTTCCTGCAACAATGCTGGCGTGGCTAAAGGCGATGGATGACCGCCTTGAAACCCGCTTTGAAGCCCGTATGGAAGCGCTCGAGGCCATTGTCAGACAAAGTAATGAACTCAATAGGCGGGCCTATGAGAAGAGTACGTAAGACCGCTTGATATTGCTCATTACGTTTCCCTTAGTAGAAGGTTAGACGACTTTGAAGCAGTGAGTAGAACAGACAACGGCTCTGTACGGTAAGGATTCTTCCCTTCCCTTGTGATGGTTTATCATAGTATAAAACTGGACACTCTTGTTAAGCGAGTGGACCATATGGCTTCAGAGCATAGTGTCCTTCTGGCCAAAGTGGAGCAAGTTGCTGCTGCTCTCCGTGACAGCCACCGTTCTATGCCTACGGGGTCGACGGTAACAGTGGGGCGTTTGCCACTCTGCTCTCAAGAGAGCCTGTCCAATTTCCTCGACCGCTTTAAGTCGGACAAAGACTGTCAGCAACAAACGGTACGCTTGTGTTCAAATTCATTTCTAATTGCTTACTTACAGGTCGATGGCTTAATCAAGATTTGCGGACGGAGTGCGAAAGACACTATAAGAAGCATTCTATCGCGGATTTTAGGCCCGCCCCTTATCTTGCAATTTACTTATTCGGGGGCTGCTAAGAACAAAATGTCCTTTAGTGGAAGCCCTCTGCACGCTGTATTTTGTGGTAGGTTTACATTTGTGTCACGACGTTCAGAGGCCGTCCGACAACATCCTCACTTACGCAATGTTGATGACGACGTTGTCCGCAATACCGTCATAGAATGGTTCCACGGGTCTCGGGACCGCTATGGTGGTGTGCGCGGGAAACGAAAAGATGTTGTCCAGGGAGGATTCTTGGATTTACTGAACTCTGCGAACACGGTAAATATCATCGCTCTTGCATATCTTTTCGGTTAAGTTGATTTTATTTTTAATTAATTGTTATCAATTATGACTGTACGCATCTAATATTGCGTTTTCTGTTATTGTAGGAAACCGCCACTCTTCATGCATGTGAACCAAGTACTTCAGAGTATGAAAAACCCTCCATACTTGAAGGAATTGATCCCAAATATAATGACCATTCGCTTAATGAACAGTGACACTTGATCGAACTATTACAAACACATTTGTACATATAATTTTCTACTTATAGTTTTTCTTTTCAATAAATTTTCCATATCACAAACTGCGTGCCTTTTGCTCTCACGAAAAAACCCGTTTGGGGTTTGGGGGTTGAGGAAAATGGGGCTAAAAAG